TAGAATAAAGTATCTCTACCTCACCTATGTCATGGATTGCAAATGAACACTGCAAGAGAAGAAAAAAAACATAACACAGCCCTGGTTCTAATCCAGGGTTCTTCACAGTATGCGCCCAACGCACTGCTACTCACCCATGATGTGTTTTTGCAAGGAATAGAAGTGGGTCTCTTTTTGCTGAGGTAAAAACGCGGGTTCTAGCAACCAGCAGTAATTTAACTTGCAGGTAGCAGATTCCAGTGTAAAGTCCAGAAAGCTGTACCCTCTCAAAAGCGTAGTTCTGGACTAAGCTCAAGATCTAGTCACAAAGGTCTGACCGTTAATGTGGTATCTTCGAGTTCTTAGCGTAGTCCAGAATGGCAAAAAAGTCGCACCAAAACAGGACAACTGAGTCCTTAAACTCCCGGCTCTCTTCCAAGAATAACTACTACAACAATCTATGACCTTCTTATACCGTTATGCACGTAATCTTCTCAGAAATGAATCCACAAGCACAGATGAGCATGGTTTAACCATATCCACTTTTATTAGGCGAGCCCCTGACTGTGGCAATTAGTGTTTGCTAACCAAACACTAAGGGCGAAAAAGGTTGTAATATTCTCATAAAAAGAATACAGAATAACTGCTAGTTCGTTGCTAGAGAGTTAAAGTAGGGACCGAGGCTTGAGATATGCTCCACGTAGACATGCGACAAAGCATTCTCCGGAAAGATCCCTGGCGGAACGGCGGACTTTGAATTCTTGCTGATCAAACCACAACAGGAACTGTACGATGAGCTCTTTATTTGAATAAAGATGTAGTGCCACATAGTATCTATTATACGGACTTAGAGCCGTTGAAAAGCCAAGGAAATTGAGGAGCAATATCCGAGGGACTGTTTCTTACAAAGCTGGAAAGAAAAGGTGGAGCTATGAAGTACTTTACCACTTGGTAAATCCCTATGGAGGTTGGAATATTGGGAGACATATTCTATATCAATATTGAAGCACATATAGCATGCTATTTCAGACGTTTTACTTTATGCCATGTCCTGTATTCATTCTTTGCGGAGCTCCTAAGAACATTAGCTCCTTGGTAAAAACCCAGAGCTTTCCATATTAAGACCCTGAGGGATCGTGATGGGCTGTGCTCCATACCCCGATGCAATGCTCGAAAAGAAATCCTACTCAAACATCCATCCATAACGCCCGAGCCCCAGTATCAAATCCCCGCCATATAATATCATACACCCCGCCTCGAGCCTCCCCTCATTCCTCTTCCTCTGGCTTTATATCGCTTCTGAAGCCCAAGGTTCACTGGCTACTCTCTGTGCTCATCAGCTCTCTCAACTTCTTCGCCGCCTCGTCAGGGTGAACCTCCCGAGCTTTCTTTTTTCTTCCCGTGCCGCTCGCACCTAGGCTAGCATTAGGCTGCACCGACTTCCTACATTCCCCGATAATTCTCTCAACAAGGACCTCCCAGCTTTGATCGGGTGGCGTGAATCTACCCTCTGGCACACCCCACGTCGTCGAGCTGTTAATACTAACGCTCAGATGTTTACGTGGCTCACCATCTCGATGGCTTGGAGACGGGACGACCATGATGACATTCTTGCTAATCACCTCGGTTTGCCCTTCAGGAAACGCCGCTGAGTTGTCTGCTGACTCGGCTTCGTAGGCTGTGGCGTCGGCGATGACTCTATCGATTATAATCTCTGGATCCTGGGGAGATCTGCCGGGCTCCTGGAGCGTCTCGCAATGGATACGGAACATCAGCTCGGTGATCTTGTGTTCTGGGCAAAGGTTATACTGCTCTCGTGTTAGCACCGTGTTCTTTTCCGCTCAAAAGTGACTGCTTTATCTCTCGAGCATGTCTAGGACGAGCAGAACTTACAGCCTCAACAATCTTCGCGATATCCTCCGGTTTAGTAATGTTAACAAACCACAATACCTTCCCATTTGGCGCCATCTCATCCATGTAAGGAGGAGCTTCAGCATGAGCGGCAGTAGAGAAGTCTTTCGAGGCGAGGAAGTCAACCAAGGCGCAGCGTAGGCGGAAGAACATGCTGCTATTACTGGCTGGCTTGCGGCGACCCCATTTGATGCCCTCGATGCTGGGATTGTCGGCGACTCTGGGTTCGGCCATCTTGGAGTGTCAGGTTAGTGTCGAGATCGAGTGAGACTAATGGTTGATGAAGAGGAAGTACAAATATGAGAATTTAGGGTTTGAGGAGCATTCGAGACGCGCTCGTGGTAAACGAGGCAAATAGAGAACTGGTTTTGGAAGGAGTACAGCATCGGAAAGACGTGGATAAGGCTGACATATAAAGTGAAAGAAAGATATCCAAGCCCATGTAACCAACTTAACGAAATTAAGAACGATATATCTCATGCCAGTTCATCAATACGTCATAGCTGCTCGTGTTGAAGTATCTTGACAGGTAAATATTAAAGGACTCTTACGTAGCCACGAGAGAAAGAAATCTACCCGCCTTAGTGATTTCATAGGATATCAGGCTCAAAAAATTGAACGACTTCGGATTGTCCAAGCTCTTTCACGTGGGTGAAGGATCAAGAATGCTCAAGAGATTTCAAGAACAACATTAGAAGCTTAGTAGCATAATCTTGTCAGATAGCAGTCAACATATGCCAATGCTTGTTTGGCACATTAACTTAGTGTGTAAAACTTGCGGCACACATTGTATACTTAGCTAATCATATCCGCGCAAAGGCCTTATCGCCTAGACACTATATGAAACTGAGAGGAAGTGGTTGTAGAGATACTCATACCGTCCTCGCCGCCATTCTAACCTTATGATGATACTAAATTAAATGACCCACCAGTGCCAACCTGGCATGACATGGCCAAGTACCAAACCTCGCAAGCTCTACCAAGTTCATATCTAGATATAATATAGAAGAGGATGAGCCCTTAAAATCCCATTCCCATCCCACGTATTCCGAAAAGTCCATATACTTTGTATACAAGAAATCTATATTCATAGCTCTAACCAATTCCATGAATATCACCTTAGCCAACACCATCACCGACGCTACCTCGTCTATTCTCAACTCAACAAGCAGCTCCCTGCTATTCAATGTAGTCTTCTTTTTTTTTAGGCTCCTGGCTCTTCTCCTCCTTCTCCATTTAATCATTCTCCTTTATTGTCTCCTTCTCGCTCATACATCTCTGCGGGAGGTGCGGCTGCGATCTCTTTTTTAGTAATAGGGATATTCACCTCAGCCGACGTCCTCTTTTGGAAGCTCGGCAAGAGGTCTAGACGAACGCCTACCTCTAAGAAATATCACGAAGAGGTTCAGTAGCAATTAAAAAAAAGAACTTGCGACAAAGCTCTATACGCTGGACATCTGCGATATCCTTTATAGGGAAGAAAGCATGGCACGCAAGCGATACGACCTAGAGGGTGCTCCGAAACGGTTTTCCCACTTATTGACGACGTATGAGTCAAGCTCTGGCAAGGGGCTGAGGAAGCTACTGATTGGTAAAAATTTGGACGTTTGGGAATATGGGCAGAGCCATTGGGATGGAACAGGTATTGCCAAACCTGGATGGGTGGATAACCAAAGTGTGTAGCGATGCTCTTCTCTGCGCAAATATCAGAAAGCAGTTCGCTGACTTCCACATACAGCACATATGCTAGATTCCAGAGAATGGCAGGATTCTGGGACCGCTGTCGAGAGCCGTACCGACGGTGATCCCAGAGCGCAAGAGTGATGACACTAGAACCACCATACCTTCAATGAGTGTTCTAAAATTATTCTAGAAGGTAGGTGAGGCGTCTTAGTAAGGCAGCCTGGTGGCATTAGAATTCAATTTCCTTCCTAGGATGTTCTAGTGTGACGCATTGAAGGGACTAGAGCAAATTAGATAAAGAGATTGCAAAGTCAGACGTATATTCGAATGAATCTAGTCAACTCTTGGATATACCAAAGTTCCATGTGACTTGAAGCATGTTATGTTGAACTTCGTAGCGGAAAAGGGATTAGTCCATACCTAGACTTAGCGAACAGAGACTTTATTGCAACTTTTCATTCAAAGACTCACCACCACTCGGCAAAGCATATAAAACTGTGACCCACATGAAAGGAACATAGAACATAATAGCTGGAACATTGAAGGTCACCGAAATCTCAATCAATATTCGGATATGTCACCTACCGTTGCCACAATCTTCTCCAGCGCCGTGTATGCTACACGCAATACATCAACAGAGCAATTCACATCTATCGAATGTCCTAAAAGGCTGTCTGGTCTAGACAGTTTCGGCATATTCGTCGGAGTATTGATCTTGGCCGTTATCCTCATATCCTTCAACCGAAACTGTGCAACAAGAAACCTCATCAAGAAGCTGCACGAGACTCCCGCCCACCAGCTTCACGAGGCCGTTTCAGTTATGTGGCAAAATTACGGTACTTCGCAACGGAGGGACTACAGAACTATAACTTTTCGGGACCACCCGGAGAGCAGGACGAGGAAGATAGAGATTTTGCTAGATTGGAGCCAGATTCCCGACCATGACGGAGCAGCGAGACATGGAACACAGCATGATGATGTAGGTCGGGTGCTTCCACACACGCCTATGCAACGAGATGCGGGCGGTACGCCTCCACCACCGTATAACGCTGTAGACGAGCTTGACGTGGGTGATGCTGAAAGGCCTACGGTAGTTGATGTCGGGAGATTTAGATTCGGTGAAGGTCGTCGTATGTGACGTAGAAGGACACGGTGGAGGAAGCAAAGGAAAGTCGATAGTCACCGGGGTATAACACGTTATTAGCATAAACTCTTATCAACAGAACATACTCCAACTACATAGAAGAGCTTGATACTGGCTCTGAGCGTCTCCAAGGATCCATGTTGTGCGAGTTGTGAAGCGGTGCCCACAGTCGTTGGTCCTTATTCGCAACCAACCCCGTAACAGCCCAGGAGAGAAGGGGCGGATTGCTAGGGTGCAGTAATAAAGAGGTATATTCAATCAAGAAAACCTATATTTGCAAATAGACCGCTTAGCGCAGTGGTAGCGCATCTGATTCCAGACAAACCGTTCTAGGAACTTCCAGAAGGCCATCCGTTCGATCCGGATAGCGGTCATTTATTTTGCTCGTTTTGGAAATTGCGAATGTCAATGCAGCAATATCGAAAACCTGTAAAATCTCTGCCGCAGCTTACCAAGTCGCTGTCCTACATCTTTGTAATTGTTGGATTCTATGTTTGTCTCGTCTTCATTTCATAAGCCACCATTGAAATAAACCACACCAACGAGAATCATGATGGAGACCTCCAGCAGCACCCTTGTAACCATAGAACGATATGAGAGTTCAAAAATGTATCAAGGAAAATACTGCGATTGGGCGGCGTGTCCATACCCGGGGGACGAATAATAAATGGTTCATTTTTGAATTGTTGGGAGATCGAGATGCAAAAGAGAACCAAAGAAAATGCAAACAGGATTATCGAGCCCGCAGTGTGGAGTAGAGCAGCAGAGCAGAAACGCAGAAGTCAAAAGGCAACTTAGTAAAACATACAGTTAGTCATAGCAGAAAAAAAGTGAGAAGCTATGTAAGCTCGCTTACTTCACTATATTGACCACTGTATTACTTCTCTATAGCTTCCTCACCACTGCCAGGTTCTCCCGAACTTGACGCGTCAAGTGTTTGGCGCTTGATTAATAACGATATAGGGTATATCTTGTGCTTCATAGAAGCTACGCAGCTCCGCTTCCTCCACCATCGTGACTACGGTCATTACTCTCCCTTGCCTTCCTGGCCTCCGCTGCTTTCGCCATGATTTCTCTCCTGCTCAAGCCCGTGCTCGAGCTACCACCGGCACTACTGCCTCCGAGAACGAACTCTCCTCCCGTCCAACCACCATGGTCATCTACTTCCTCGCCATAATACTCTTCATTTCCAACAGTGTGCCCACCACTTCTCCAGTCTGCACCCTCTACTTCCTTCTCGATCTGCTTGCATAGGTCCCAGAAATTCCGATCATGCGGCCCATGTACATTATGCGCCAATTCATGACACAGCGTCTTACGTATCGTCTTGTAGTCCCGATAGCCATCATATGCATCCGTCCGTAACCTCAGCTCTATCACTTCTCCACGATTACGATTTAGACCCAGCGTTCTAGAGGTACCCTCATGGTTTGATGTTGTATGCTCAACGGGATTCATCTCAGTAAGGAGCGGAACGGTAAATTTGTGCTTTCGCATCGATGCTTTAACTATAGTAATTGGTTAGTACTTGCAAAACAGTTTAATGCCATTCCTCTTAAGGAAACCACTTACTTCCAGCATCATCCTTCAAGCGCTGTAGGAACTCCAGAGAGCGCTTTGGGTTAGGAAGATATGGTAGCGGTCGTAGGTCCAAAAATGTATACTGCGCCTCCTCTTGCTCCTTCTTCCAATCATGCGTCTTGTATGCTTTTACCTTCTGTACTCTCCGTCCTGCTGAGACATTTCGCGAAGCTTCGTGTGCAGCGGTCGCAATTGCATTTGCTTCTTTCGCGGTACTTCCCAGTAATGTAATCTTCTTATCTGCAAAAGATGATACGGGCAGATCTGGATCTTTGAATGGCTGCTTGAGTGTTCCCAGCTTCGCAATCATAAACTTCTGGTTTGAGGCTGGTATCAAGAGATCGGATTCGACCTCCTCGACAAGATCGGATATGGTTGCATCGTGAGAAAAGGAATATACATGAGGCTCGCCCTTGTGGGTTATTGTCAGTGTGACCACAGCCTCTCCAAGATCGTTTGTCTGTCTGTCATCAGTTGCCATCTTTAGATTTGTCTTCCAGCCGCCTTGGAAGGAAGAATTTAGTTTCACGTCCGGTCAAGGTATGATATGCAGAGTCTGATCAAGAGTGATTGTATTATGTTGTTATTGTACAATAGCATTCCCATTCATAGAAGATTCCAGTTAAGGCTTCCTCGTTGCTTCGTAATCCACCCACCAAGTGAAGTCGGGACTGGGATCGCCACAGCCCGCGCTAGGCGTTTAATCGCCTACTCCCGGCGGCTGTACTCCCTGCTGTACGTGCCAACCGCCAAATGCCAAGCGCCTTGTCCTTCTGTGGAGAGTCGCGTCGTGTCCTTAAGGTAAGCTGAGCCTCCTGTAGCTAATTTTAAGAAAATACCACTTCATAATCTAGAGACTGGCCATCTTGACCTCAATTCGAACCACCACCACCACACAAGCCATCTCGGCCATCACTTTCAAGTTGTCCGCCTAATTGAGACGCTTCGGCGCATCACTTTGCACCATGAATATTTTTCGCATAGCGGGTAAGTATTTACAAAATTTTGAAAGGAGCTGCAATGCTAACGGATGCGCAGGAGATTTCTCCCATCTGATTTCTATCCTCATATTACTTCACAAGATGACACAAACAAGCGTATGGCCTTAAAGATCATCAGATTATGCAAAGCGTGATCTAACAAGTTCTTTAGTCGTGTTCCGGAATATCCTTCAAATCGCAAGCTCTCTACCTGATGGTCTATATCACCCGTTACCTTGATATCTTCTGGACATTCACCGACAGTGCCTACAACACCATTTTCAAGCTCCTTTTTATCGGTACATCAGGCTATACGATCTATCTGATGACCACTGCCTATAAGCCTACCCATGACCCCAATCTCGATACCTTTCGTGTGCAATACTTGCTAGGCGGCTCCCTCCTCCTCGCGCTTGTCTGGCCCTACTCCTATACACCTTCTGAAATTCTCTGGGCGTTCTCCATCTGGCTCGAAAGTGTTGCCATCCTTCCCCAACTATTTCTGTTGCAAAGAACTGGAGAGGCCGAGACGATTACCACACATTATCTGTTTGCGCTGGGAAGCTATCGCGCGCTATATATCCCGAACTGGATCTGGAGGTACTTTGTGGATGGACACTCGGATCCGATTGCGGTCATGGCCGGATTGGTGCAGACAGTGCTTTATTCAGACTTCTTCTGGATTTACTACACAAAGGTGCTCAAGGGAAAGAAGTTCGCTCTGCCAGTATAGGAATCTGTGCAGAGCTTCATGGCGTCTGGGCTTCAAGGGTAGGATCTGTGGAGAGCTGGAAGAGGATAAAAAGGTGTCGAATGGAAGTACATGCTTTGGGCACTACTCTATACCGGGTTAAACATATACGGCGTTGGGGCTGGACCGGACAAGGCTCCGGTGGATCTTGGTCGCTATCATTCTTATAAATGTAAATTATGTAACACGCATAGAATTCTTCTACCAATAGCACAGGCTTAAGGCAACAGACAGGGTTAAGACACTAGAGAGCTGCCATGTTTTGTGAGTTTGTTTGGGGGTAGTCTCAGGTAATCTATTAAGCAATTTGGCTATCAATCATTGATGGCTTGGTAGCTATTGTCCCCGGCTGTTCTATCCACATTCATTACTCTCCACTATACAACTGTGCTCGGGATCTCACGTCAGATCTTTTTGTGATCACTTCATCTCCCATATGCTACAACACCATTCGTTTTAATGCTCCGTTCTTCCAGACATTAAGAAGAAATATAGAATAGGGCCGTTGCCTTAATTTTCAAGAAAGACTCTTTTCAAAACCCACCTTAAGCCATTTATGCTAACCCAACTTCCATGTCTCACGAACCAGCTCTATGCCTGAAGCCAGCTCATCTACTCCCCTTCCATACATTATATAAGTTCAGCCTTTCATAAGTCTATGTATCTCAAGAAAGGGAATGCACTTAACAGTGAATCTAGATAGGATGTCTACTAGGAAAAAGATGCGCAAACTGCTTTCTTGAGAATTTGATCCCAACCAGGCTCTCCAAAGGCAAAGGAGATGAATGTAAAACTCACAAATAGCTACAAGATTCAAGTTGGGTTCCTTTAAGTGCTTGATTTTCATTGCATTTACGTTGTGTTGCTGTCCTAGTCACTTTGCTGTCAACAGGCGCCTTGTTAACCAGCCAACAAATTATCTCAGGCTGTTTTCACGTACTTTCACAGATACCAGACCGATTCTCGCATTGTGCCGCCTGCAATTCTATACAGAAACTATCTTCATACATTTGCTTCGTAAGCGACTGTAAATGGGAATCACTGGACCCCCAATCCTGTCGTTCATTCTTCGAGTTCCATTGATGTAAGGCCGTACATACTAAACAGAATCAAGCTTATAAAGGCTCCACGCTCCAAAAGGACTATGAATGGGAGAAGTGGACGCTGGTTTTGCTTTTTAGCCGTCGCTTGATCCCTAAGTTAATATTTGTTCCTTTCTAAATTTCTTTCGAAGGTATAAAAGAGTTCACTTCAAAGTTCACAGAACATAGCATGCTATCTCTCTCGATGCATTCACCACTGTGATATAAAGCTACATGGCAGCCAGCCACTTTCAATTTACCTCTCTATGCATCAAAGCGGGACCGTTCATGATTGAGGATCATGCAGCTCAACGCCGGGATATTGTACGTTTCTTAATTGTTTATAAGCTAATGCATATCTTTGCAGTGCTGGTGGTGTGGCATGTTGTTGTAATGGAGCTTGGTACTGTTAAACTAGGAAATCTAAGTACGCACGGCAAAACGATGCATGCGTACTTTTGATTAAAATTCCCTATATAAATAGAACTTTCTTTGTATTAAGCATAAAATACATTGCTGAAGATCCGCCTCCTCACAGCTCCCACAGCCGTAGTGTTAGGTATTCATTCAAGGATTTTGAATGGTTCTAAGATCAAGTAATGTGCCTGTGTCACTTCAGCAAGAACTTAGCAGAGCAGAGTCTTTTATCTTCTTGCTTACTTAGACTGCTTCTGCTTAATGATTCACTGAAGTGGTTAGTTCTCAATCAAGCAATAAAAAAGACACCCCCCGGCCAGGAAAATACTTTCAATTGTACTATATAAATCGTGGACCTCAGTTAGTTACGAGGCAAACCCATTTCGAAATTAACAAGCAATTAATGGAGTAATGTTTTTGCTTATTTAATCTATGTTGGATGCAATGCTCATTAGGCTATAGAAGTCTTAGTATATGCAGGCTCATACTAGATAAAATTACAGATAATACTTCTGCTCTACAATGTAGAATATTTACGTTCCAAAACTAGTTGCTGTCAAATA